AAGTGAAGCATTTGGCAGTGCACGGAGTAGTAACCCACCCACTTGGGGACTTGAGCAAAACATCTGGGACCTGGTCCTGAGTGCAGCCCGTCTACCTATTCCAGCTGGGGTTTTGGTCCGGAGACTTCAGCGCCTCTTGGCTGGGATCACAAGAGCCCCTGACACAGAGCTTCTGCCCTGTCCCGATCCCCGTTAACCAGGCGCAGGCTCTAGACGGGAAATCAGCAAGTCACCAGAGCACGAACATACCTGGTTTCCTCCCCCACTCCCCCACAGAGTGTTACTTTGGAGATGAGGAGTCCAAGGGAAGTCTCACACTTTGCAAAAGAACACAGACATCTGAACTTTAATAAATTATAAATTTAGAAGTTCTAATTTGTATATACATTTTAATATACAAGGCATGGCTATTGATGGCGATTGCTGTTAAGGCATATGTATTGTAAGTGAATGGCAGTGCCATACAGACATTCAGATGAACGTAGCTAATGCTGTGCACTGTAGGTGAGTAAATAAGATATTAAATGCATTATATAATAAAATAAATCATAACCCTTTGAGTACTAGTAAAGCACCACTTCAAAACATTTTCTGTTTCTTAAAGGATTGTAAGTAGGTACTGTGAGAACCTAAATATTACATGGAAGGTGTTTAAAACCAGGACTAATGTAGAATAATAGATTATAACAATTCTTCAGGGAATACTAAGCGAGGGAAAAATGGAGAGTTGATCGAGGCCAACGGAAATACGGTTGGTTTAGGGTCTCTCTTAGGCTGACCCTTGCATTTTAAAAAACAGAATTTAGAAAAATAAGGAAGATGTTAACTTGGAAAACTGATCTGCTTGTGCTCAATGCCAGGATACACAAATACCTACCAGGAAATGCATCACTTTGCTGAAGCTTTCAGACCAGACAACCTCTACAGGAGAACCAGATCTATACGGAAACAGATTCTTTTCTTCTTCCTGGGTATTGTGTTGAATTAAATTGGCACTTTGCCCTGTACTTGCGATGCATCAAAAAGTAGTACTTAGGCGATGGAGCAGTGTTCCAAGGACGTATGCTATAATTATGCTTTTGCCCAATTACAGTTATACACGGGAGGCGGCACTGCAAAAGGAAGCAGCTGTCTGAAGTTTCACAAGCCAATAAGAAATCCACGTATCGCACCACATGTAAAGGCACAAAGAGTAACCAGAGGACAGGTGCCAAGCTGTTGGTTGCTCTTAATCACTGATCTCTTGGTCTGTTTAACATGTGAATGGCTTGTATTGCTAAGTTATCAGGCTGAGGTTGTGATGAACACGTTGTTCTCTGTGGACTTGACACGATGCGCTTCATGTGGCCGAGGGAAGGGTTCTCACAGAGAAATACTGTCAAGAGGGAACGGCACGCAGCCGTGTCCCAGCAAGCAGAAGCGGGGGTAAACACGCACGGGTTGGTATTTTAACCCTCTCCAATTATTTGGACTGAAGACTTTGACTCTGGCACAGAAAAGAAAGATTACAATGCGGAGAGAAAAGGAATGCAGTGTATTAAAAAGAGCCAAGGGGGAAAAGCCAGGTAGAGTGAAAACCCAGCACAAAGGGACTAAACGAGTCCAAGGTCTAATTTCTGTACACAGATGACACACGGCATGCCGTTTGGGTGGGATGCCAGAGATGCATCTGCACCAGCCTGGCGTTCTGTGACATTTGCTCCTGCTCAGGACAAGTTCATGGAGGGCTCGAGCTTTGTAAGTCTTTGGTCTCTAGAGGGGTCACCGCCGGCTCCTTTCACTTTAATGTAGGCCAGTAATGGGTGACTGGTCACCTGCTACAAAACCTCTAGGCACTGGCTCCTAAGGAGTGAATTATTCAAAGGAAGCAGAACACCAAGTTCCAGCTCCAGGGCAAGACGTTACTCTCACGTTCCTGGTGGGAGGCTCGCAACCATTACACCCAGTATCCCCCTCCCCACCCGCTCTTTGCAAGGCTGTGGGTGGGTACTGGGCACGTCACCTTCTCTGGCTGGCCAGACTCTGTCCACGCACTGGAGAGCAGAGGAAACCACGTTGTACACGTCAGCTCGAGCCTACAGCGGAAGGAAGAACTACAGCTAGAGCAGGGCTGCAATGCATCCAACCAGACCTTTCGGGGACTCCCTGCTCCTAGCTGTGTCACTTGATAGCACACTTGGATACGCTCCTTGGGTGTACAGCCAAGGTTCGTGGCTTCTTTTAATGCCGTCATAACCTTATAGGCCAAATGGTAATTTAAAAGGGATGAGTATTACTTGCACTGAGTTGTAACAGCTGAGCAGAAGAAAGATGGAAAACATGAAACACTTGATACTCCTGCCAGGGAAATGCAAATCCAGCTTGGCTTGTCCTGCATCTAGATTTCCTGTGTAATCGCAGTGATTCAACTACTTCTTTCTTACATAGGAATGAGTAGCCTTTTTCCTTTTCTCTCTGTTCCTGGTACCGTACTCTTTTAGTTTATACACAGGCAACCAGACCCCCGTAGCACTGGAAACAGCTGTCGCCGGAGCTTGCCTTCACTTTGGACATGACTGTGACTCCCTGTTGCTTTTCTGCATGAGAGTTTAATATTAAGCTCCCATTTGCTAATCTTCAGCTGTGCACTCCTCTGCTCCGATCCCAGTCTACGTGCCTGGGCCGCCATCCCTGAAAAACTGTGCAAAAGGGTATTGGCTGGGGACCACGCTGGAGTGCATCTGTCCGGTCGAGTGTAGACTGTGCCCACTTTGCAGCAGGAGTTGTCTACTGCTGTGCACGTACCGTGCCTAAAATAATGGGACCCTCATTTTGGCTGGGTTGGAAGCACTGCTGTCAGAAGCAAACATGCTTGATGACGGTAACAGCCCTCCTCTTGCCGGGGCACTGCACTAAGCGTGCAGATATAGGGACAACTCAACCTCTCTGTGGGTGCACACTTGGCTCGTCTCTGCCCGAGCCAGGCGTGGAGACACCCATCTTGTTGCATGCTGAACATGCGGCAAAAAAAAAAAAAATCACAAGCTTGGTAGAGTCCCTGAAATCACAACGCTTCCTCCCATGGTCAGCCGTGAGCTGGCAGCCACCGTTTCCTCCCACTGTCTCTCCGACCTTTTCTTCGCAGACCTCTCCTCCGTCACAGAAGAGGTGCATCGGTACATGCAGTTTCCTGAGTCTTGCTCTTCCCTTCACCACAAGAAAACTGCCAGAGCTGGGGGTTACCCTGCTCCAGAGTCTGTAAGAACATCAGCCCGCCGGGATGCAGCAAACATCTCAATATCCCCAACTCTGACCGAGACATCACTGAGCACTTGCCTAGATCCGAGCCGTTACTTCAGCCGGACGGCACGCACAAGGTGCCTGCCCCTGCCTACTTTAGTGGCACACACTCTCCATCCGGCGCGGTGGGAAGAAACAGCAGCGGTTACGTCCGTGCCGCCTGCGAAGGCAAAGTGTGGCTCTTTGGAGCATCTCTGAGCCTGCATTTATCAGCTCACGCCGCTGGGGATCCTCCCTTCAGGGTCCAGGGGTCTCAGGGTTCACGTCCTGCAGAAGCCCCAGACAGGATGGTATTTCCTACTGATATTTGTATCGCTCCCTGAGATGATCCCTATTCTAAAAAAGCTCTTTATCTAGTCCCTGAATATTCATGGTCTTGTTGGAGCACCTCGGAAACATCTGCTCGGCTTTCTCCTCGCTCCAGCCTGTGAGGATGGGCACGTGAAGGAGCTGAACCAGGGAGAAGTCTGGCACTTGGACTCATAGTCTGAGTAAATTATTTTGGTTAAATGTTGGCTTTGCTCCTTTCATAGCTGGGTTCCCCTCGTGCTGCCAACACAGGGGGCTGCGCTCTGGCACAGGAACTGCTGCCTATCCGGCCGTGGTTTTTCAAAGCAGAAGCCGGGTCCCTGTCCTCGAGCGTGCAGGAAGAAGTCACTTGTGCTTTGCACTGCAGTAGTAGCCTGGCTGCCAGCAGCTAACCCGGGGACATGTTCTGGAGCACCTAACTTCTGTCCAGCCTAGCTCTGCAAAGGCCACTGCAGGTTTGCGGTTCCCACGAGGAAGGGGGAAGAGCTGGATACGCTGCTCTAAAGACTGGAGTAGCAACCTGAAGGAGACCATTTGGCCACTCATTTGACAGAGACACCAAGTGAGGATCTCAAGGACTCTACAGCCTGCCACGTGTTGCTGTCCTTGAAGAGAGGTGTGGAGGTGAGGCAAACATGCTTCTCGTCCCCATCGCCTTAGTGGTAAAGTCACCTGAAGTGCTCCTTGTCCCAGCCTTCTCGAGATGGCAGACACACTTAAAGCCAAAGGGGCCGCGTCCACACGAGTGTGGCCGTGCTGGCTGTGGCGCCGCAGGCATGTCTGCAGTGTCACGTACCGCACGTTCGGCTGTTCTTCACACTGCGGGGGGGGGTTGATGCCTGGATATCCAGGGGTTGAAAAAACTTGCCCAAAACAACAGTGGGGTGATGCACGCGGGGGCAGCACGCGCCACTCAAAATGGAGCCCGGCCGGCCGGAGCCACGCTCCAGCCAGGCTCCGAGTGGCAGGATCGTCCTAAGAGGCCCCGGTGCTAGCCCCAGCCTCCTCTACTGCCCCGGGGTAACTTGCAGAGAGCACATGGTACAGGCGTTCCCTGGGGACAACGCACGGCGGCACAAGGTGGGCCACCGCTACACGTCCCCAGGGGAACCAAACATCCACGTTCGTGTGGACGCGGCCAGGCAGTCTTTTCCACTGATCTCAGTGGACTTCGGGTGAAACCCTCAGTTCCTAATGTACATGTTACTTATCCTGCAAGATAATTATAAGGCTGTAATTTCCTTGCAATACATGTTGGCATTCAACAGTGAGCATGGCTTTACCGAAAGCTATAAACCAATCCATATCTATCTTCTAGCGTGAGCAAAGGAAAACACAATGCTGCGGCGTATCAGCTTGTGGAAGACCCTGAGGGGAGGAAGCACCCAAAGGATTGTCAGGCTACACGTCTCTAAGATCTATGCTGGCTGATACAGTGTGTATAAAGAAAGCATAACGAAAAATCAGTTGTTCGCTTCGGCAACAACAGAGCTGTCCTAAGGAAGTCTTGATAATACAAAATATTTTCCTCCAGGATAAAACAGTACTGTGGAAAAAATGTAACAAATAAAATTACATTTTCTTCACAAAGCACCAAAAGGAAAGGAAATGAGAATCCAGTTATTTTCAGTTAAAGAGCGTGTGGGTAAAAGGCAGACCCAAGACATGCCAACTCTGACCACTGTGGCTGTTGTTACAGGAATTCAAGACCACAGAATAAAAATCCTTGTAAACAGAAGTGCCAGGGCACCGGCCGTCTACGCGGGATAAATCCAACCAAATGCTGGGTGCATATGTTTAGTCTCAAACTTTCAGAGAAATCCCGTAACACTTGTTTATGGGAATATGCAAAATCCCCATGGTTATGTCTGGGCATTTCTTTAGTGTTACCCAGACCATGGAAAGGTCCAAATTAAGAAAGGACACACAAGCACAAGCCCAACCGAAACCAAACGAGTAGTATCAGTACAGTCCATGGGACCGTTTGGTGCTTCAAGTCAGGCGTGTCCTTGCGTACTGTCCTGAACCAGAGGTGAATTTCATGCCTGATTTATCAATGCTTAAAGGTCTTGCTCTGGATGTTTGACCACTCGTGGAGACAGTGGTAGGTATTGGGATCTGCTCTCCGTGCTGAATGCACTCCCAGGGGTTACGCACACGCGCAGAGAGATGAACAGAGACCGTTAATAAACCTGCCGACCTAACCTAGGCACCGTGGTTCGTATGGATTCAGTGAAATACTGTATCAATATGACATTAATACTCTATAGCACCCTGTAAACCTGCCATCGTTGTGTTTATAAAAGCATTTCTGACACAATCTGACCGCTCCATTTCCCGTAGATTTTGGAGGCTGGCATTTCTGCCATAGCACCACTCTTTTTCTTTTTTTTTAGTCTCTATGACATGGGCATTACTATGGTTGTTGGTAACATCTCTATAAGAGAAAAAAAATGTTGTTTGTGCCACGTTTCCATTTTAAGTTATCTTCCTTAGAGTCTCTTTTTTCCTCTTCTCAGCAATCAGCTCTTGAATTCTTTGGTTCCTTGTCCTTTCATAAGGCAGTCTCCTTCGCGTGATGATGTTATGTTGAGAGACGTCGTTATCCAGCCCGACAATTTTATAGGGCACATCTACCGCATTAATTTCCGGGTGGTCGTCAGTTGTATTGGAAGGTGCGGCCGTGCCCGTGGATTTGGGGACAGGAAGAGGACTGGCCGTGGGCTGTGCGATGGGAGTGGCGAGGGTAGACAGGAACTCCTCCTCTATGACGTTCGTTTTATCGACGCTGGAATCGGTTACGTTGCTGTCCTCCGTTACGTTGTTATACAGGTTACAGGACTTGCAGCAGAGCTTATTGTAACCAGGAATTGAACAGTACCGAGAGAGGACCTCCATACGGCAGAACATGGACTTGTCGCCTTGGCACCGCTCCTCTGAAAGAGAGAGAGGACAGGTAAATAAAGTGCGCGTGACAAAGAAAGCTCGTGCCCACAGAAAGCATTTAAAGCAAGTGCCCTAAAAGTGAGAGGGAACCGACCGCTGCTGAAGCCGGGCAATGGGGACAAGGTTTGGAGTACAAGCTGGGACAGGATACTGTCAGACAGGCCCTTTTTCATTATATTGGAGCTAAATCCTACACCCACGCAAGTGAGGTGATCACAGCGCCCAATCTGCATTTTGCATGGGGGGCTCTGAGTCTTGGCCTTCACGTTACCAGAGTGCTGGATTCAAAGCCGAGCTGGAGTCGTACGGCCTTCCTAGGTGGCTATAAAGCAGAACATTACCAGGACTATACAGCTCCTGCAAAGTGCCTTGAAGCTCCTCAGTCACTAAAATGAGTAGTATTTGCACAAGGAAGTCATTGCGCCTGCACCTGTCTAACACTGGTCTGCAGCACAACAGCAATGCTGCTGCGGACGAGGAGGAATGGCACGTAGACAGCCAGTAACCTCAGCCATGGGATTATTTAAATCTGAGCGTCTGAAAGCCAAAGTCTTATCTGTGCGTGGACTGGCTGTTCCTGGAACTGAAGTCATTGCTTGGCCCTTCATGCCGAGGATGGTGTCTCCTGAACCCCTCCCTACATGCAAGATAAGACTTTGGCACAAACTCTTTACGCCTTTACAGAATCCCTTTGAATCCTCTGAACTTATTCCACAAGCACACACGACTCCTGCCAACTTCCCAAAATGACAGGGAGGCTCCTCATAGTCCTGACTTGTGTAAACCAGAGCAAAGAAGTGTAATAGCAATGAGAAACAAAGAGAGTTCCCGAAGCTGAGGTTGGAGGGACTATTACAATAGCCCCCAAGTATTAGATGCCCCACAACAAATGTACAGGGCTAGGTTTGGTGTCATTCGACTGCACGTGACAAAACTCAGCATAAGGAGATGCAAGGGGCTTTTCTTATTCCCAAAGCATTAATCCAAATGTAATCTGAAATCACTGGCATGGACCCTGCTGGTCTGTCCAGTGACAGGGGAGATGCTATGAATCCTAGCCGCTGGATGGTAGGAGCCAGCAAGGCTACAAATCTCCACCTGTTTCCTTCTGGTGCAGCCTAGGACAGCAAGCTACCTGCCGCCAAACGCCTGGGCACCCCAGAGCTAGACACTGTCTGGTTTGATGCCGAGAACCAGGAGCTAGTGGGAACTGCAGCAAAAACGCAGCTAAGGTTCATACCCATCCCCCAAATCATTGTGGACGCCTGCCCTCTACTAGGAATCAGTAGGGTCACGGGTTATTTTCTCAGCAGTCCCAGTGCCCCGTGGCGGGGAGCAGCATCGTCCCATACTCCAGTGCCAAGTAACGCAGAGGGGGCTGGGCTCTGTCCTGGTAAAGCGTGTCCCCTCCTTCATTCAGAGCACGTGCGACTGCAGAGGTGTGCTCAGCCAGGTGAGTTTATCAGACTTTGGCAGCTCAGAGCGAAATCTGGTCGAATCTCGCGGCAACACTGCATCAAACTACAGCACGGGAGCAGGTTAGGAGATAGGAAAGTGAATCTAGAAAGCAGAAGTGCAGTCTCTTCACTCATCCTCAGCTAGGGTATGGTAGGTGTTTAATTGGCAAACATATCAGTCTAGCATATGCTAATGATTATTGCTCTTGCTTTGAAAATCTAGCAATGACTGACAGGATTAGAAACACTTTTCTTGCAAGCAGCCCAGTTTTGCACTGACTCCCGCATTTTCTGTAGAAAAACAAACATACAATTCCTTGAGTCAATGCATTTTCAAAGTTTCCAAATCTCAAATTGAGTAGGCGCCCAGAAGACAACTCCCTTCGGAGCAGAAAGACTGTGCTCGGGACGCGTGTTCAAACTGGCCTCTCCAGCTGCAGGTGCAAGCTTTTGTGCGCACGACTGTGCGTCCGTGTAGCCACACGTTGCATTGAGGCCCCTCTGAACACTGTGCCCTGCATTTCTCTGGCTCTAATTCAAACTTTTCAATATTTTTTGCAAGCTACTATTTCAATTTAGGTTCAACAGGGCCGCTTCTTTTTGGGGCATATGTTATAAGAGGCAGTAGAAGCATCTTTAGAAAAATGCCTTATTTTTCCAGGAAAAAAAAAAGGGTGCAATGCTCACCATAAAAAGTTACCTAAGAATCAGATTCAGTTATGGAATAGCCTTTAGTTCCATATGATAATTTATACTAACAAACACGAACCTCGTAACTCAGGAATGACATTTGGTATTGTCGTTCCAAACCAAAGTCTCCAGGTTTGCTGCACTTTTATTAGTTTTATTTGCAGTAGGCATGACAGACTGGAAGTAGGTCTTTAAATCATCAGTAAGAAAAAAATAAGTTTCACAGTCACTTTGGTACACGTCAAATTGGTCTCATAAAAAAAATATTGAAAAGCAAACTGAATTGGCACATCTTTAATATTATGTTAAATACATACAAAACACTAATAAAATATCCCTGATAAACCAAAGTGCATATAGACATAGTGCACAATGCCCAGATACCTTATTGCACCATTCTCTATAGCCACCCATACCTTGTAACATCACTAAACAGTTGTCTAGTTAAAGGTAACAGTCATGAATATATTTATACAGTTAAACACCAATAATTTTACATAACAGTATTCAGTGCCAGATACGTGTCTTTGCTTTTTCACCTTGTCAGGTAAATTGTTAACATGTTTCAGGAAATCATCATATTCACAGCAAAATTTAAATATGTGATCACATGATAATGACAAGTTTGAAGTGCTACATTGTTGACGATCCAAAGTGCTATCTTCCTAAGGGATATGAGCAATGGAGTAAGGTAGCAATGTGCTGTGTTAAGCCAAGGACTGCTGTCTGAAAAGCGATGTGCTTCTACGGTTACTGGATGTCAAATGGTTTTTATGATTCCAAATCCTCAATGCAAACATGTGAGGTACAGCAACAATGCCAATTCAACGCTGAGAAGTTAAGTAATGACCTTTTCTTCACGAAATGAGCATGGACTGTGCAAATTAACCATGGATTAAATCTGCTTCCTTCTAATATCATTAAAGTAAAAATGCTGAATATGAAGATTAACTCGTGGTACCAATGTACTGTTTGTATTTAAAGCTGGATCTTGTAGTTAATGCCATCTACATTTCAACATTAAGGCATTTTTCTAAATCTTTTTTTTTTCCTAAGCAAAAAAGCAATAAAAATTGAGGTAATTCTGTCGTTGTTCACACTGTTATGTTTGCCAGTTGACACGTCTATTGAACACACGCACACACGATCGTACCAATCGAGTCAAACATGCATTTGGTGAAAAAAGACCAATGGATGTAATGATCAGAAGTAGCCCAACGTTGAGCAGGGTGAGACATCATAGGAATGAAAATGTCATATTGCCTTGACCACTTAAACTCACAAACCTTTTGCACGAACCACTTGCATTTTATAAAAAGGGGAAAAAAAAATCCTGCAAAACTGGCAAAGCTGTGTGAAGAAAAACAAATGTCGCAGCTTTTGAAATAAAATATTGAAAACACAAGCAGAGAAGTTGGAAGAAAGCATACGGCACAGGAGCAGCATTTAAAGTACAAACAGAAACGGAGCTACTGGTAAGTAATGAGCCCGTCACAGTAACGAACACAAATTTTAGGTCAGGAATACAGTGGAGCAGCACAGGTGAGCAAGCAATGGCACCGCGACGGAAGATGGAATGAATCGATTCTTTCATCCAACAGACTACCCTGTAAGAAAAACTGAAACTAGAGTGTTATGGGATTTAGGGCCATTAGATAAAGGAGAACTTTAGCACTACAAGGTGTCATTATTGTGATGTGATCACATTCACAATAAGTTCTCAGTTTTGCTATCAAACTGAACATCATGAACCAGTACGAGCCTTTTTTCACCATCACCAAGCGACAAGCAAACTGATCCCAGCTCCCTTTCAGAGGACTGCAACATACTGTGGAGATCCTACTTCACACATCCAGCCAACTTCTAGACCTCCACCACCAGGGCTATAGCAGCTCCAGAGAAGAAAGACACTGTGCACCCAGGGCACAGCGTGAAATAAAGATTCAGCCCAAGATTTGACTTGGAAAAGTCAAGGGAATTTTCCATATAGAGAGAGGAAGAGAGCAAAAGGCAAAGTCCACATTTGATGTGGCATGCATTTAAGGGCAAAGGCAGAGTTATAAATGGGTCTTTTACTTGAAGAGATTTTCTGGATGGGATAGTCCGGATCTGGTCTCGACAGCCATTGTATCATGTAGGTTTTCTTTGACAGTTCAGAAACATTTCCTAGAACAAAAGGGGAAAAATAAGTCAATACAAGATGTGTTAACAAGAAACAGATTTTCAACTAAATCGCCGTATACAGCTTGAGCTGGCTCGGAGGACAAGTAGAGCGCTGCTACGCTGTGTAATGGACTGCAAGTTCAAGGCCTCCCATCCTGTGCTCGGAGTGTGATAGCAAGCTATGAAGGAAGAAGGAGAAGTACTAATTTTGCACGGCATTTTAAGGGCCATCAGATCTGGGCCTAACTGCTCTGCTTAAAGTCTCCGGGCTGGGATTGATAAGTGAGAGCCTGGTGATCATGTTAGAAAAGTGACCATATTCATACTTACAAAATAGCAATGCGAATGTTGAGAACTAATTTATAAACAATATGAAGTTGTTCATTAAATCTTAACTGTTACAATTTTAAAAATGATCCTAGGTAATATATGCAAATGGCAGACAGGCCAGTGAGGACAGACAGGTATTAATATTTTAGCCTAAGCAGCCAACAATTTATGACCCATCAAGGAAGACGGCTTCTTGTCACAGAAGGAAAGAAGTGAGACCCTGAGCTGTCATCACTGGCGGTGGCTGAAGCAGGAGAAGGCCCATGTCTGCATGGCTGGTACTGCTTTTTTTGGGTATCTTGTGGAGAAGCCCCAACACTGACCAGCAGCAGGTAACAGGTTTCTAACCAAGGGGGAGCTGTTAACCAGCAGCTTTGACATCTTTTACCTCTACTGGAGTGGGGCCTGTCCTCCTGGCTTCCAGCCTGCACTAGTTGGTATCCCCTGTCCACACTGTCACGTTTTCAGAGGCATAGGGAGCGTGGCAAACTACCCCTGGCAGGTCCGTATGGCAGCCGCACAAACAAAACTCTTTGGAATCATCCTCCTCCCACCGGCACTTGATTTATGGCCTATATTGCTAAGCAGCAGCTCCCCAAGCAGGGCTCTCTTGCAGGCATGCAAGTTCAGTTCAAGAATTGCAGCAAATGCAGTTGAATTTTTTTTTCCCCCAAATCGTACATGTCAGTCACAGAGACAAAGAGCTAAGCACTCACTGGGGCAGGGAGGTAGTCTGCAGATCCTGACAGTCTCGGGTTTATCGTCTTTGCAGAAGCCAATGGCATTGTCTTTTGTCCGGCACAGAACCTGGCGGTCCTGCGTGCCGTTCCCACAAGTCACTGAGCACTGGGGAGGGAGAGAAGGCATCAGTTAGGTGTTGATTCATCTTTCACCTATCGTGTATTGGGTCTCTTTTTGTCTTAAGCTGCAGCAGGGGCTGCACATAATTTGACTTGAGAATTTTGCCAGACGTTAGATATGTGCATATATACACGCACAGCACCAGCCTGGAGACCTCTGACACACCAGCACACGTGAAAAAGTGTAAAATCTTTATGGTGGGAAGCACATTAAGTCACACATGAAAACTGCTGCAATGCAAGACATTGCTTCCTCACATGTATCTTAAACTGTATTAATTGTGATACTTAAAACTCAGGATGAATTCTTCAGGTCTTATTTATATGGTGAAGATCTAACATGTAAATGCTGGGCTACAACACAGCCCCTCTTTGAAGCAGCATCATGAAGAAGTGCACGACCAACTGGAAAGATGCCAAAACTCCAAACGGGAAGAGTTGAACACAACGCTGTGGCACAGCACTTACTCCCCACTCGCTATCTGGTGACGGCAGAGTATTTGTCAATATGAACAGACCAAGACTTCCTGGTTCAGGTAAATGCTCTGCAAGAGGCAAACGAAGTACAAGGAGACTACCTGGCTTGCCCAAAGGCAAACAGCAGGAGAGGGCAAGAATTAGGTCTCCTGACTCCTTGCACTTGGCTGGATTCCTGCCATATGAGAACGTAGCAAGGGAGAGGAACTCCTGTCCGTTTGCTCTCAGTTAGAAAACCTTTATCAGACTTAAATTGTTTCCTCACCCTGCAGGGGCATTTCTTAAATTAAGATGCTCGACTCCCATTTCATTTCAGTGAGGCTTGGACGCTCAGCTTTTGACAGTCCTGGCTGTAGTGCTTACTTTAAGGGAGGGGTGCAACTTGTATAACCAAAAAAACCCAAACCAAACACCCAACAAATATGCTGGACTTTTCATCAAATTAAGTCAGTCTAGCACAAGAGTTCAGGTGGCAAAGAGGACCGAGAGGCCGGAATGGCTGCTTCCTTCCTTCCTGCAGCTGACACCACGTCCAGAAACTCTTGGCTCTACACCGTCAAACAGCAACCCTTCAGGATGCCGCTGCAGGCCATGTCCCCTTCTGTCCCCACTTACCTGGCCTCTCCTGGTGAGACGAGCGTGCTCTCCACGTAGGTAAGCAAACGTTGGCCAACTCAATGCCTGGCGGTGGCTAGACAGGACAAACTGCTGAAGACTCTTCCTCCCACCTTACACAATCTCATTGCAAAGCTGACAGAGGCTTACCTGCGACCAGGGTCCTATCCTCCACTGTGCAGGGCAGAGCTCTCGATTGCAGGGCCTCCTGCCCTCCGGGCGATCGTTGTTGCAGTATTTGGTGTGAACAGAGCGATTGGTGTTGTCGTGCAGCGGTTGGATGCACCGTACAGAACGGACTTGATAGCCATTTTTTCCACAGCTTTTGCTGCAGGGCTCCCACTCTCCTGTAACCCATCTGGTTTAAAGAAAAACAGGACGAGTGAGGCACAATCCTCTCTCATACATTAGTCATGTTAAAGCTGTTTATTGAAAGAGAACTTAAAGTTTACCCGAAGGTTGATTTGGCAAATGAAAGCAATGAATGAAAATAACTAATGGTTCTGAGAAGGCTAAATCAGCCATAATGCTGAAACCACCTAAAAGACCCAAATCTGGGGACTTAAGTATCTAACTCCCATCTAATTCCTCAGGAGGAGTTAGGCACCTAAAATACGTTAAAGAAGCTGGACCCATGTGGCTAAATATGTCCAAGCAGTGTCTCCTATTTTGAAAAGAGGATGCAACATGGAGCCTCGTGTCTTGGTGCTGGCACTTCTGGCCATTGTAGATAGGGTTGATTTATGTCTTAACATCCCACACTAGGTTACTGAACAGGAGGAATCTGTTTCATTAACTTAGTATTTTAGATCCAGCAGCTTATAGTTCATGCTGTGGCAGATCTGTGTTGTAAGGGACCTTGAACAAATACCCCATAAAAGTAAGTTTTGTACATCTTTATATAAGGGAAGCTTGAACTCTGAATTCCTTTGTATGTCAAGAGTTAGCCATAGTCCGACTGGGTCATAAACTTTGTTTAAAATGTTACTAGGCACCAAAAACCATGGACTGAAGAGACAGAGGTTTTGCAGCCCATTTTAACTTACTTCTCCCTCCCTTCACTTCTCTCTGCTCTGTAGGTGATAACTGCCTACTTCTTTTTCATGTGGTCATATTCATTAACATAATTAGATTACACTGAAGGCACAGCAGCATGGCATTGCATAGACTAATTAATTCAGAGAAGCTGAAGCTCTCATAAGCAATAGCTCGCTTTGTCAGATGCTATGAACTAAGGCAATTGTTGCAACATTTACTTAGCTTGAACTCTGATTCTTTTCCAGAATTGATAAAAGGCAATTGAAGCCCAAAGGCTTGTCTTATCTCTCTTCCAACTACACAAGATAGCACCTTGCAAACTTAACTTTCTAACTAGGACAGTACTCATTAGGTTTTATCACTTGAGATAAATCTTTGAATATAACTCTACTTTGTTTGATGTATTCTTGGTTAGAAGTTGTTTTTTTTAAAGGAGTGCATGTAAAAGTTGGGACTGGAGTTCTCAGGCCGACTAAAGGACTCAAAACACATAATTCATATTGATTTTCAGGGATATTTGGGCACCTAACCCCTTTTGTTCCTTGAAGACCATTGCTATAAACTCTGTGAATATCTTCAGACAGATCCCAATTATCCCATATTATGTATATGGCCAAAACTGGAAAGCTATTTTTCATAAGCATAGCTCTGTACAAAACTGGCCACATCCTGTTACCAGGAGTATTTCCATGTAGGTGCACTCTCTTGTTTTTTTGGAATTAGAGGGGTAAGAATTGTGTCCTACCTTCTCATTACGGGCATTACTATTTCTAATCCAAAAACCAAAGCATCCAGCCACTTAGGGAAAGTAGCATCTCATGGTGACATTCCAGAAAGACCCTAAATGACCAATATCAAAAATACCTAAGCAAATTAAGAAGATAAGTCCCACTGGGCATATCTACATGTGCGTTAACGTGCCTTTTCTAAGGCATGTTAAATGTAGTACCTCCAATGTGAAGTACGAAATTAATGCGCATTAGGCTGCGCTAATGCACAGTAGCATACTTGCACTTTTTAGTGACACGTAATGAACAGTGGACTATTTTGCTGTGCATTAGTGTAATTTCATGGGGCTTTATATGACACTAATAGCAGTAAAATAGTTCATTGCACATTAAAGTGCATGTGCAGACATCCCACCGACTTATTCACAAGTCTATATTGGCTTCCAGTGGAACGCGAGACTAGACTTACAAAGCTATTAGCAGATAGGCATCTTATCAGCGTACAGTATCAAGCCAGCTTTTATTGAAAGCTGGTGGGACTTAGGTGCTTAATCCAGGTAAGCACTTTGCAAAGTCTTCTTGGCACCTAGCTAGCTTTGTAAATCTAGATGCTTTTGAAAAGATTATCATGGCCTGCAATTTTCCCCAGCTCTATACAATTCACCCTGGGAATCGCAGGTCACAAGTAAGATTCTAAGCAAGTTTCAGATAGTAAATACTGGCTTGCAAATATTCTCCTGCAAGGACAAGTAACTCTACCTGCGGAGTACAATACAACAGTTCTGCATTAGGTCTCTGGATACCAGCCTTGCCAGATGTATATTTTGCAGATGCTCTGAATTTAAAAGAACAATTTCCCTGCAGCTTCCCTAACAGTAGCTATTTGTAAACCTCTAAATAATTCATGCTGAAACCAACAGGGAGATAAACCACTGAAACAACTGTTGATAGCAGATGCGAAAGAGTAGCAGTAATTCTTATAGATGAGTTTACTGCTTCACATAGGGCGACAGTTCCACCAACCACCTAGAAGGACCATGAAAAATACGGCCTAATTTGCCAGAAGACCAAAGACAAGAGCCAAGCTGTTTGTTAGGCAATTATGAAGGCTTCAAAGCAATATATCCATTCTCTCTTAGGAGCCTTCTAAACCCCTGCAGTAATACTGTAAAAAAAATGGAGTATTAACCTCTAAGCATCTTGCTTTGTTCAGCATTCACTATTGCACGAAGCATGTAGGCAGCACAGTTACAATGGGATGATAATATGCAGACTCTTACAGATACATAGTCCCCTCTTGATGCAAATACATAGCTCCCATTAATGGTAAAAGGAAATCCATAATGGACAGAGGAGAAGCATACTTTCTTTAGTAAATTCAGAATTAGCACTACTGCAATCCAAAGGCCCCAGTATCGCCTCTTGCCCTATGGAGGGAAGGGTGGAGCAGGTGACTAAGGGTCACAAAGGAGAGGAAAGAACCTCAAAATACCCTGAAGCATTTTGGAAGATGCTTTGAATGTATCCATCTCTCTTGGATCCAGACTCTGGTCCACTCTGAGATACCGTTTCTGCACCGGGCTCAGTTTAGAGAGAAAGTTTAGACAGAGGAAGTGGTTTCTTTTCATGGGGAAGCAAAGCTTGAAGCTGAGGCTTAGATATAGAGCTGATCAAACTATGTTTTGCTGACAAAGTAATATCTTAATAGAGTTGCAATAGAAATCACAGCTCACTCTGAGCAGAAGTGACATATCCCCTCATGGCATGGCAGAAGACAACATACCCACTGTAAAACTGAGTGCTGCAACGCTCTGATTATATAGAAAGGGGCTCGCTAAATAAACTAGCTATCCCAAGGGCATTTTAGGAAATACTCCTTTAAATGCTGCAGCTAAAAGTGAGCTGATGGGAGGATATTCAGTTATAAAATATCTCAACTGAAATGGCTACTTCCTTCATAGATTTCATAGACATCAGGGCTGGAAGGGACCTCGGAAGATTATTGGGTCCAGCCCCTGCCCCAGGGGTGGGAAGTCAGCTGGGGTCAAAGGGTCCCAGCGAGATAAACAGCCAAATGTTTCTTAAGAGAGTCCAGTGTAGGTGCTTGCACCACCTCTGGGGAGAGTCTTGCTGATGTTTGGATATTCACCTGTTAATACTAAAATTACGGGCAATGCTAGTCTCAGGGAGCACAGAGAAATAAGACAATGGGGGAGAAATGCGGGGAGAAAAGAGAGACGTTCATCTTGGAAAAGTCCAAGAAAACGCAACTGGAGAAGAGCCATCTGAAGCACAAACACAGTCAGAGAGGAAAGCTGGGAAGCAGCATTGTGGAAATAGCTAAAGACGAGACAGAACAACACATCAGACATAGCTACTTGAGAATATTTTACCCAAAGGCCCTTATGTCCCATTTTCAAGCACACCTCAAGGGAGTTGGGCTCAGATGAATTTGGTGCCTAAATACTTTGGGGGACTTGCATCTTGGGCAGTTAAAATGGGATTGAAGTACACTTGTACCTACCACTGGCAATGAGGCCTGTCTGGAAACCCCCAACATGACTGCACCTAAAATATAGCATTCGACTTGGGGCACAACTTCCCAAGGGCTGTAGAGGCAAACTGGAGGGAGCTTAGTCAGAGAGCAACAAAAGTGACCAGGAACTGGTGGGAATTTGAGACTAGTTAGATGCTGACTGGTACACGTGATAACAGACTATACATATTTACAGATCACCATCTCTGAAGATGGAACAGCTGCATTTAATGCGGATGGCAGGTACAACCTGGCAGAATGGGATTTAATTTAAACAAAATAAATTTAGGGCATTTTTCAATCTACATTTGAGAGGTGCTGCACCAGGGAGCAGCTTCGCTAAGGACTCCTGTTGTGAGGGACACTTCAAAACTTTGCCTGTACCATGCAGGAGAAAATATGCTGCAGGGAGGCATCCTGCAGGGACCTGAAGATGGACGGATAACTTTGTATAGCAATTTCCTCTGCAAACGTCTGTGATTTTATGAGATGGCCCAGAGGAATACAGCAAGCTCCTCAAAGCACAAGGTCATTTTGTCTAAAGTGATTTCTGGGACAAAGATGCTCCAGGGATCGTGCGAGGGAGCAGAACCTCACAGCGCTGGTTTGTTTCTGCTTCCCTTAATCCCGCCTGCAGTGCTCCATGCTAAGGATGCTTCTCCAAGATTTGCCTTTCCATGATTGAGGGCGAGAAGGTGAGGCTGGTGTGACCTGTTTGGAAAATATTCTGTTTGGAAAGACCTGACATGAATCCATGCTCCACCCAGGACAAGGTCCATCCTTGGTGCTTCCAGTGCCAAATTATAAACCGGAGGAGTAAAACTAATCTAATTAAAGAAGAGTCCTAACCAAACCCCTGCATCACAGGATTCCCAGACTCTTGGGGTGTGGACCCAGATCGGGATCTAAATTTTGAAGCTGACCATTTTTCCATAGTGGGCTCTGGCAATACTCCAAAATCAGGCACGCTCCAATTCAGAGTCTTTAAAACTTGTGTCAGGATGCTGTGGCTCATGCATCTTTCCTTTTTTGCATCCTTGTGACAAGGTATTTAGCTGAATTCAAAGATTCATTGGAAACTGCCAGGCCACGCTGCAAACCCTTCTGCTATGGCCTTAACCTTTGGGCTGTCAACCACGTGCCTTAGCACCCACACCACCCCAGCCCCGGCTCATGTACCTCTGTAACTGCCATTTATTTTAATTCATAGTTTTGCTAGCCAGAGGGGTGTTTGTAACTAAGTAATAGAAGAGTTTTGCCTTCTCCAGAGACCCATCATTATTATTACTAGGTCATTGCTTCAGTTCTGGTAAATATATTAAGCCCTGATCTTTGCTGTGTTCATGTAGCACAATTCTTGGCTTCTCCTTCTCTTAGCTTTTCCTGTGGCAGGGTTTAGGAAATCTTGGCTGGCACTCTTTACTTATTTATGACATTTTCTGGAATCTAGACTCGGTTCCCAGAGATAAAAGCTGTAGATCAACTTACTCCTTATGTGTTGCGGTAGCAACAGGGGCAATATGTGAGTCCTACATGTGACAGGGTTAACTTGCTGCCAGTCAAAAAAGCACCTGTAAAATGTGAATAAATATATCCATAACAATCCACTATGTAAAACATGGAAGTGTGAATAATAACCCCTTACCCAGCGGTGCTGGGATTGGAATAAAAGTCAGTAGAAATGTTTCAAACAGTTAGTGGCACGAGCCAAATATTTTCCCCATGTTTTCATCTTAAAAAATATGCCGAGAGCTTTCCTGGTGTTTGCACTAGAGTAAGGGATGACATTTGTTCCCAAAATAACTCTATCCATTTTGGTTTTAGATGCTTAAATTCATACTTCATAATTTGAACTTCATACTTTGAAAACCAATATAATTTCTATATAATTTCACTCTTGATTTTGATTTCCAAGAGACGGGGGCAAGCACAAGTGCCTGGATCACTGCAACGGTATTTTTCCAATTCGACCTATTTCAGAACCATTGTTCCTAGCAACAGCATTTCGCTAAGCAATGTGTTAGCAATGATACCACATCGCTGCGTATAAAGAAGGATAAGGGCCCAGCGTCGGTAGGAGGAAGGTGCTTGGGGATAAGCTGAAAGCGCTGAGTTCCAGTCTGCTACAACTGTGAGCAGCTGGCTCCGGGCTGTGAACAATTTGGATGGACAGCAATGCTTACATTGGCTGGGAGCATTCCTGCAGATTGCACACTCTGCGAATAGGCTTTGGCTTCTGGATCAGTTCGCAGTAATTCCGGTGAACCATCTTGTGGTCAGTCTTCCTTCGGCAACCGTATTTTGTAAACTGATAACCTTAAGAGAGACACTCCTCTTATCTCCAGCATTTGCAGTTTTTACACACAACTCAGACTGTACTCAAACTGTACATGAAAGAGATAGCAGGACAGCCTGAACCGAGGGCGAGTCAAACCTCATCTGATGAGCGTTGCTTTGCTATATATACAAAAAGCTATACATTTGGCACCCCAGAGCAACCAATTCCCGTTATCTTTTCACAATGAAGCTGCAATCACAATTAGCAGACTCCTTTGGAAAGAGGCATCTTGGCAGTCCAAGATCCAAAGGCTCAGTTGTGTTCTCTATACTTGCACACCCAAAAGAGGACACAGGAGGGCAGCTGGAACCCCAGGCCAGCTCTAGAGCTGGACTTAGTATCTAGGCCAAGTGCTGCCTGGTGCCTCTTCTCAGTGCAAAGTGCAGACTGCCAGGTGCAAAGGACTCAGGAATAATCCACCAACGGGTAGCGTCTGTGCTCTATTTGCTACCTGGGTGTTTCATCAGCCCAAGGCCAATGCTTAGATAGTCCACAGAATTTCTTGCTAACATAGAGAGGAATCAGAAATATACCAGCTCTGACCATCGCCAGATAGCTCATCTCTAGAACAGTAACAGATGCTTATGTCAGTCACAGATGAGACATTTATAAAATCAACTGCCCGAAGAGAAAGTTGGTCCCTGCCCGAAGCAGTTTGTGTGCTGAAGCATGGTGGTTACTGTGATTTATTTGTCTGACACTTTACTAAAGGGACATGCTGTTACACTTGTGGCTTATTAATATCTTGTGGCAACAAGTCCCACAGATCATGGGGTTATGTTTAACCCCCCCACAACTCCCTCTCCTTGCATCAGCTTCCAGTTTGTTATTCATTTCTTTTTACCTCCTCCACAGGGTTTCGAGCACTGGGACCATTTTTTCAGAGCCCATTCATACGAGACTGAATCTTCCAAAACATTGTTGTTATCTACGTTTAAGGAGTCTTCATGGATCATGTATTTGTAAGTCAAAGAGATCTTGGTATCGCCATGTGGAATCACCTAGACAGCAAAACAGATGGAGATCAAAAGCTTTTCAAGACTGATTTTTGAAGTCATCTTAAATAATGGTGCCACAGATACAGAAGCGGGACCAACATTTAAGTGTATTAAGTGCGTTTCAGCCACTTAATCCATCTTTTTTTGTACTTGTGGCCCTGGGGTTCTTATACTACATATTAGGAAAGGGTGCTGTTACTCTGAGCTGGATTGGCTTTGCAGGGCTGTACGTTCCCACCTTCCAACCTAACAGAAAGAAACGTCTCAATAAAATGATATTTCTGCTTTCACTGAAGACAAAGACTTACTCAAACTTATTGACTGTCTAAAACAGGTGGAAAGAATGTCAATGAAGACTAACTGATGCAGGTGGAAAAATGCAACACTGTATGATATCAACACAGGCCTTCTCACAGCTGCCTTGCAATAATACATTCATTGCCAGATCGAAGTGTGGTTCCTCATACAAAATGGACATTGAGCCAGTTTATTTTGCAGCTTTACAGATGGAACCATGTGTGGAGTACAGTGCTGTTCAACACAAGCAAATGCATCAAACCTGCCCTTGAAGAAGGCCATTTTTATTTTTACCCGAGAACAGACTTTCAGCCAGTACAAATCAGCACAGTGCAACTGGCTCCACTGGCCTGGATTTCCGAAGCGGAAGATCTGTATTTGTTCTCATGTCATTTATTCTTTTACAATGAACAGTCAATACAGTTTGAACTCTCTCTCAATTAAGACAGTGATATCACATAAACCACTGAAGCCCTCTCTCGTGTCTGACTGTGCAGGGCATATTGTTGAAAGTGGAGCAAGGGCTGGGAAAAGGTAACATGCATTTAACTATAATAGGCTGCACTGATTTTTCTCTTCATGTTCCCATCACAGCTGTGATTAGTAGGCTGGATATCCTTTAGATAATGGTAATTTTCTAGGTCTTCCACAGGAAATAATCAGGAATGTCAAATGCTTGACATATAACCCTGGAGCAACTGTATAATGCGATTCCTGTAAGTGATAATGAACGAGGGGAAAGGGATTAAAATACATCTCTTTTTATCTTTTTTACTCTTACAGCAAATGTCTTCCCATGATTCACAAAAGGGATCTCTAATACACAAAGAGTGCTGTGACTCAGTATGACCCTGACAATACGAGCCGCAGGACGGGGTTTCATTTCACTTACCAGAATAACTATCCCATTACGCAAAGGCCCCATGGTCTGTACCATCTCCCTGCCTTCATCGTTCCGGTATTCCCACTCCACGCCCATGTCAATAAAGGCCTTCGAATCTGGCACGTAGTTGTCTTCACTTAATATGAACTTCCCCGTTTCCCGATTCTTAATTGCTGGAAATAACACAACAGATGTGAGTCTGCGAGGGGAACCTCATGGCTGAAGCTGGCAGGCAAGGCGCCAAGCAGAGCAGTCTGCTTTTTCCCATGCACTCTCACTGGATCAGGAAGGATCCTTTTGGCTTTCACTTTGCACCCCTTTGCCTTCTTTTTCTGGCAAAGAGACGCCTACTGTTGTTTTGGGCCTTGTGCTTATATTTATTTCACTCCTGTTGGTTTTCAGGGATGTGATGCCTTGACTGTAACCTGCTCCTTCTTCAGTTCAGCTGCAAGTTCAGTTGTTCACCTTGTGCGGACATCAGGTTCCCCAGCTGGAGATTGAGCAGCCAGGTCTGAGGTGAGCCCACTCCACAGTATGTATATGCTGCCTTGTGTGCCCTCCCTTTTCCACCAGCTCAGCAACTGGGACTTGAGCATGCTGCACTTGGACACCAATAGTCACAGGCTGCTTTTCTGGGTGCAGGTCTGTAACACCGAGGTACAAGCCAAGCAGTCATGCACTCCTCCATCACTGCCCCACATGCTCAGCTATCTGTTGCTGTCTTCTAGCCCTCCCATGGTTCGACAGGATCGCTTTCCCTGCCACTTGGTGCCTGCCTGACCCAAATTCTGTGGTGACATTAGGAGATAAAGGATTTTGTTATACACATCTGAGTCACTCCAGGCACTAGCAGTCCCTGAATCCCAGCCCATGCTCCCTGGCTTCTCACTCAATGCTTTGCTCTGTCTTGGGTCCCATCTAGGTGTTTGCATAAGCCTATGAGACAGAAATAAGCAGAGGGGGGCCGCAGTGGCCCACAGAACAAGCCTGGTCTGATTCCTAGTCCAGGCAGGGAATGCCAACTCGGTGTCAGCTCAGGAAGTGTTTCCTAAAAAGAAGCTTAAATGATTCATGGCAGAATCAGCAGGCCATTTGCTGCGAATCCACTTGCATTTAATAACTGCCTATGAGACATTGCTTCTCATTGATCCCGTTGCATTGTAAGGAGAGGTTTTCAATTACTGTCTAAGCTTTGTGATTGATTGGGCATCCTTGCCTCAATATTATTAACAGTGGGGCAGAATCTGAAAGAGCTCAGATGCTACCAGCCTTGGATGCAGCAGGGAAACAACTGACTAGGAGATGCATGTCGCAAACGCTGCATGTGAAGACAATGCAAATGCCATCATACCCCATAATAAAATTCACACCCCCAAATCAGACACAGATGACCCCCCTCCCATCCCATCCTGTGCCTCCCCAACCCCCGATCAAGCAACCCTCCTGCTGTGGCACAGAGGAGCAACGCATGGGGAAGTTAGGATCAAATTTTCAAACAAGCATACCTAATGTGTACCCTGGAAGGGGGATCCTAAATGCAGACAGGTGCACACACACGATGAGTTTAGGGGTGGGGGGGGGAAGCAAAATCAAAATGCGCCTCTACAGAAAACAGTATTACTGCTGACAGCATCGTTCTTATTCCAGACTCACCCAGGTTATGAACAGTGACATCTGTTTCTTGTACAAGTAAATGCCTCGCACCAGCAGGAATTTCAAACATCTTGAGGTGCCCTTTATTGTAGTATTTAAAGAGAATGACTGGTTAGTATGACAGTCCTCTCCCTTTTCTTCTCAGCAAATAGGTTTATTTGACCAAAGACAGGAGCTTTAATACCAGCTGGGCCTAAGCCAGGGTGCTTAATAGGCCCTTGTTGGAAGAGGAGAGACAAGTCCAGTGCACTAATGCCACTTTAGATCCCCAAGTGCCACATGCAGTGCAGAGGAGAGAACATCTGCCCTGGCAACGACTGGAGATAAAATATCATCGCAGTCTTCCACTTGGCCAGATCAGACAGAGGAGCCACATGCATCTGCGGAGACACCTCTAACACAAGTCAGTCCATGGTACTCTTACAGCGGACAATGCCACTCTTCGTGCCAGCTGAGATGGGCACGGACCCCAATTTGGGCTTAGAGGAACAACTGCCTGACACCGACCTTATCTGCACACTTCCAACCACCAGGTAAAGCCTGGGGAGCATCCACTGGAGTGAGCAGAGCCTGCAACTATCAGCGGCGGTGCTCACAGACTGTTGGTGAGAACGAAGACGAGAAGCCCCTGAAATCCCTCCGCGTTGTACACCGGCAGCCAACTAACCTGGCTTCTTTGGTGCCCTGGAAAATGTTCCTTTCACCACCTTGCAGTGGGAATTATCTCCTCCACAAACACCACACTTATCTTCCTGCTTAGAGGAGCCTATTACCCTGTCGCAGCCGACTTTCTGCAAGCAAAGAGGAAAAACCATTTTACTTGTTTATCCCAAACTAACTCAAATGCTCCTTCGATTCAGACGTCACAGAGGGTTTGCTGCATTCGCTTAAAAATAATAGGGCTTCCCCAGAAGCTCACTTTAGAATTGACATGTTTTTAATACTCACGTTTCTCCTTGTTACAGTCACTGTAGCTTTGGCAAATTTTGATACTGTGATTCCTTAAGTTCTGATTCAGGAAAACTTCGCTTTTAAAAAAGCACCATTTCTAAGGCAGATGCTTATGTTGCACCTTGAGAAAGCACTTCCTTAAATGCAGTAGCTGCACAAGTACCTTGCTGAAGTCTGTCGCAAAGATGGGGATTTACTGTAATTTTCTGGAATTTTTTTTTTCTAATTGCCCAATCAAATATACAGAAAATGTACAGCAGCTAGATTTTTAGCATCACTTTCCTCAAAAGGAGCTGTATATTCGTATCTTAATATACACTCCACCCCTGGCAAACCCTCTGAAGGAAAAGCTTTCTCTAAAAACTAATTGTAATAGTTCATCTTAAAAACGCTGCATATATTACTTGTGTAGGTAGCTGCTGTTGGAACTGAGTCACATGCAATGTGATGGCAACTGTGAATATCACACATAATATTGTGACAATAATTCTAATGAAATCTCATTATTGCCCAAAACATTATTGCACTGCCTTAAATATTCGTTCTTGGAGAAGAACATTCAACCTTCTGCTTTTAACTGTTTTTGCACAAGTCAGGCTTGAAAAATGGTAAGAACGAAGGATCGACATTGCTGTGCTTACCAAACAATCCCCCCGCACGCAGATGCTGTAGGAGTCTTTATACGAGCAGCGAGTCCCATCGTGCGCCATTCTTTTCATGTACACAACATCCCCAGTTTCCTTGGACTCGCAGTACAGGTGGCACCTTTCTTTAGCTAGAGGAGAAAATGCCCTGTTATTGTGCACGTGAAGCCGGAGCAGTTCTTCTGCTCAGTTTTTGAACAGCACTTTGTATGACGATGGTATTGGCCATTGGTCTGAACCTTGCCCAGTGCTCTGGCAGGGCTCAATAAAAGATCAATTGTTCTCATTTCTGAAGGGCTACAAGGTCTGCTGGAAACTGCTGGATGATGCAGAAGAAAAGGATTGCTGCTTCACAAAGGGTGCGTCCTGTATCATGCAATCTGGTCCCTATATTTGGCAGTGGAGCCCCGCCTCTCCCGTGGGAGGCCGGGGCGAAGGGGGTGTTGGGGTGAGTTTATGTCGCACTGTACGAAGAATGGGAAAAGCAGCCTGAACAGCAGCTGTCCAACACAGCTGGTAAAACTGGCTTTCAAAGAGGCTAAAAGAACCCTGCACCAGGCTACCTCCTCCTACATGAGGAGCTGCTTTTCCACAATTGTAATGATTGTATTTTCAGTGGCTTGAGCCATCATCAAAGGAAGGCCAAGAGCAAAGTGATATTTTATCACCAGCGTGTGGGCAAGCAGCCAGTTGATTGCATCTCTTCCTCCTAGACAGGTCTGGCCCCAGCCAAGAACATGCTGCTGGAATACCGAGCTCATGGCTGGAGAAACTTCGGTTCTCAACCTGGCTTCACTCTATTCACTTCTCACCCATGGCTATTTGTTTCCCTGTTCCCTTAATTAGATCCTAGGTGGCTTCCTGGGCAGTGAACAGTGCAATAAAAAAGGATGCCCATTTTTGCCATGTGACTAGAGCTGAAGACTTACTTTCCATAAGCTTAAAGACTAACGAGTCTTTCTTGCTAACAGTGCACACTGTGCCCTGGCCACAAGCCCTGCGTGGGGCACAGTGTTGCAGAGAGACAGCTCCCTCCCAGCTTCCTATCACTCCAGGGGAATTGTAGTTTGCTGCTGTCCCATACCAGCTGTACACCACTGTCCTCTCCACGCCGGTTGGGGAGGATGGGGAGGTTAGAAACCAACACTCCTCCAACTCTCAGCTCTAGCCTATCCATTCCCTGTTCACCGAGTGGAAGGGCAAGTGAGTAGCCAATGCAGGAGTCCAAGGGTTGTGTGGAGAAACAAGCCAAGGGACAATCTAGACCAACAAGGTCTGGGGGGTGCAGGATGCCAGGCAAGGTGGTTACTGCAGCAGTATTGCTAAGCCTTTTGTTGTTAGCCGAATATAATCGTTGTGCCTAGCCACGGGAGAAGCAAGGGAGACCCTCTCCTCAGGCAGGTCTGCTAAAGCCAGCCTCTAAAGGATGAGCCCAACAATGCACACCCTCTGCCCGTCTGTGCATCCGCCTTGCTGACAGCTACAGTATCCCGGCTGGCCGTAGCTTCGCTAAGGTGCCATTAAAGCAAGGAAGGCACTTGCTAACCGTCAGCATGCTCATACGGGAGCCAGTGGTGTTTCCTGTTCTGATATTCGAAGTAGGGATCCCACTGCTTGCACTGCTCCTCCCTGAAATCTTCAAAGTCCTTGGGACAGTCTTGGGTGCTGCAGAGCTGGAACTCGTAGCTCGGTCCCACGCACGTGCGGCCTCCGTTCGCTGGGCTGTGGACACGGAAAGAGACATTAGCAGCTCCATGCAGGGGGGTTGCTTTTATTCACTCTCTCAAGGCCTAGTTCAGTCCTTAATTGCATTTCTCTTGCTTGCTCTGTGAGATTTATGAGGAGCAGATGCTGCTCTGGTGGCATCACTACCACTGACTTCCTGTCAAACTGAGCAGTCCGGAAGACAACGAGGAAATGTCTCCCCTTGGTCTCTGCTACGCACAGTGGCACTGCGGGAAATGGAAATGCACGGGATCCCTTTTTCAAAGGGATTTGTTTCTGCCCAGCTCCTCCAGAATGTGTTCAGTAAGACGACAGTGGGAAGAGTCCCGAGGTCGGACTCGCTTCCCAACCAGCTCCACGCCATGCTGCCCGGTGCATTATTTTAATAGTAATTTAGCACAACTTCCCCACCAGCATCCCCTGCACAAGCATCCATGTACGCTGAACTCACTGCGGATTGTCACACTGCCGGGTCCTGTACTTCACCCCTGTGCCGCAAGTCCGGGAACAGGAGCCAAACTTACTCCAGGCTCCCCAGTTCCCATCCTGCTTCAGGATATCTGGAGTTAACCAGATGCAGTGGCCTTTAAAGCAATGCTGGAAGAGAAAATGGCAAAGGGTTGGTGTTGTGGGAGACACTGACCCCACAGCCAGGCTATTGTGATGGCCCTGAAGCTGTGGCCCACTGCCAACTGCAGGCAGCGTACAAACGTCTTCATCTTCCTAGAACAACAGGACCTCGCTCGTGCTTTGTGCCTGTGGTCCCAGCCACCTGTGCTGACTTGAAGCACAGAAGTCATCGTGTCCAGAAGTGTTTTCTGGCCAGCCCCTGAGCCTTGTGCTGCCTGGAGGGCAAAACCTCCTCTGGAGCTGTACGTCTGCATCTTGGGGATGCTAACATCTAACACGGGTTCTCCTTTGGGACAAGTGGGAGAGGCCTCACCGCACTCACTCCATTTATCTGGCAGTGAAGAAGGCTCTTTCTGCCATGGGGCCAACGCGAGCATCTTGAATGCTGCACACTAAAGGCTACATGACATGCATGATTACTGCCAGAAGAACGGCAGTATAATTAATGCCGTCTCCCATTCGACATGGTCGACGAGTGTTAACTAATGAATCTTCGCAGCTTCCCTATGAGGTGGGTGGTGAGATGCCACTCTGCCAAATCTAGAGATGGAGAAAGTGAGACACACTAAGTCAGCAGCAGAGCCAGGACTGGGCATTGGGATCCCCCCCAACTCCCAGCCCTGTCCACATTTCCCCAGGAAACCCTGAACATCAGGGACACGTCCCCATGACGAGCGCACTGCAGCAGGAGATACTCTCCTGAAGAAAGGGGTTGGTCAATCCTGACGAGTCCTGCCGTTGAGAAGCTACCAATTTTTTGCCCCCTCTCCAATCTGATTTCAAACATGGAAGTGAGGTGGTTTTAAAGCCAGGCCTTTGCTAAACTTTCATGAAACATCCACACTTGCTTTTCAATGGTCTCTTTAGTTTCAACCCCTAAAGCCTCTCTGCCGCCTCCCTCCTGAGAGCACATTACAACAAGCTGATCCCGAAGAGCCAGTTCCTCTGGCCCTTAATCAAGAAACTTTCCTACTTAAGTTAACAGGTGTTTTTTGCCTCAAAAATTCCAGAATTTGGCCCCACAAATGATTTTGGCTTATGTAACAGTCACGTGGGTGAAATGCAAGGGCCTGAAAGTATTCTTAGCACAATTAATTACTTTACACTATGCTGACATTGCTGTTTGTTGGTGTTAATGGCTGCTGTCGGGGTAAGAGGCCTGGCTCGCACACACACAGATGGCTATAACAACAAGTGCAGTCATTCACTTTTCTTAACATCCAAGTCAACAACAAAATTTTGCACAGCTTAACAAGCCTCAGCATCCGAGAAGCTGGCAGGGGGTTGGAGCACAGCATATGGCTAAACGCATGCTGCCAGCAAAAACAAAACGAGAAGATTTGTAACACAAAAGCCTCTTGGTGCAGAGAGTGGCTACTGATCTGGAAGTCAAATTGAAGAGGGATGGATAATCATTAATAAAGTCCATTTAAAGAGGAAATAATTAGTAAAACTGTGACAAGATATAGCTTGCTGTTCTGCTGAGCTATTTAGTATACATATATTTTATTTTGTGTGATTTAGTTATATGACAACTTACAAAAGTGGAAGCAAAATTAGAGAGACCGTCACTCCATTACAGCTATACAGTACGTTCGGTCAACACATAGCTAGGGGATAACCTTCCTCGTGCAGGAGCTTGAGTGTCAATAAGACAAGAGCCAGATTCCAGTGCTGGATAATACCTCATTCCTCAAGTGCCTTAAAAAGCCGTTACTCTAGTTCCCTAAGCATCACTTAAAACCAGCTGTGCCGATGCTGTGCACAGAAGGGAGCAATGTCTTAGTCCTACAACTCCCAGTCCAAGACTCGGGCGTCTAGCCCAGGGGCAACAAAATGCAGCCCAGGGGCCAGATGCGGCCCGCCAGGCCATTCTATCTGGCCCGTGGGCCCCTAGAAAAGTTAGAAAATTCATATTTATCTGCCCTGGCTGCCTGTCATGCAGCCCTCGAGGGCTTGCCAAAACTCAGTAAGTGGCCCTCCGCCCAAAATAATTGCCCACCTCTGGTCTAGCCCATATGCCCTTCCATGGAAATGAATGCAGTGCCTTGGTGCAGATGGGGAGTAAAGCATGTCACCGAACATTTATTGCTCCCCTGCTAAGGGCTGCAGGATCCTGGTTCACTTGTGACCCCCGCATCCCTGCTTCCACCCCTAAGCCCCTCTCACGCTTGCTGAAAGCAGCTGGGGATGCAGAGTGCTGGATACAGCTAGCTGCTGAAAAGCATCATGGACCAGGTGAATTACCACTTAAAAAGCCATTTATGGCAAATTTGCTCCAGAGCAGTGGCATTGCAGTGTCCATATGGCTTGATGGGACAAGATCTAATTCAGCAATGTGAGAACTGCAAAATACTGACATTGTGTCCTTGCCGTGCCCTTCCGACTCCCACGCGTCCGCCGTCCCAGAGGCCTGCCGTCGGTTGATCAGTGCTGGGAGCGGGGTTGGTGCCCGTGTGAAAGCAGAGCCAGGTGGGGGGCACATCACTTCTGTGGAGCACAATCTGCATAAGACAGACTGCATGATAATAGCCTGCAATGAAGTGAGGCCTTGTTTCACTTAGAAGGGGCAGAAGAGAGAGCAAGCATAGCAATGCTGTTCCCCATTTTTCATCAAGCAGTGTGTTTGGGACTGGACTACTCTTCAAACCACCCCGCTGGTGTGCTGGCAGGTTCATAACATGGGAGACTAACCCTGGTGCACAGTGTGGACCCTGTGACTCGGGGGAAAGGTGCTGTGTTGATCTGCACCGGCGCTGCGGGTCGTACGTGGATTGCCAGTCTCCACACTATAAACAGGGAAGATGGAGTTTAGCCATCAAGAAACATGTGTTTGTGCAAAGTGAGTCATCCCCTGATCTGCCAAGTCTTGCTGGATATAGGAAGAGAGGTGTTTGCACGGAGGTGCTCCGAAACAGCAGCCTGCTCTGTATTAGTCCTTCGTAGGGGAAGGGTGCAAGGACCTCAAATGGAAGTGGTCGGCTCTTCAGGGTCATAACAGAAACAGGCCGGTTTCCTTCCCGGTGCTAACACTGCTAAGGACTTAACCAGCTGGAGGACGGCCCAGCACAGCCATTGTTCTAAGCAGGAGCAGAGAGTTTCATTTTAATTACGAAGCTGATATTAATGCTGAGATTTTTTTTGGCAAGAAGAGAAAATAAAAGCCGGGGAAATGTAAACTGGTTTCTTTGTGGAAGGAGAAGACTGCTTGTCATCTTGCCCATTTTTCAGGCAGAAGTGACAGCCAAAAACAAGTGCAATTTCCAGGCGCGGAGGCTCCAGGCTCTTACAGTAAAAGGTTCCACTGCTGTTTTCCGCTGTTCTCTGAAGCAAAGCGGAGATGCCAAGGAGGAGTGTCTCTCTCGGGGATCCTCACATTTCCAAAATCTCTTTCAAGAAAAGGCTGGTAAATCTGTATGTGATCCAAGTGCCGGGAATTACCAAATCCTAGACGGGCAACCCTTGTTACTCAGCCAAAAAACCTTTGCAAGGTGGACCCACAGTCTATATGCATGGTACGGGCTGGATCTGCAACCCACCCATGCTGGGCTGAGATCCTTCCAGGGAGAGATTTAGTTATTCATTTAGGTTTCCCAGTATGGCTGGGCTGGACCCGTCTGTCCCATCTGTTTGAGCAGAAATGTGTTGCAAGGGAGCACGTGAAAGCTGTAACAGCCCAATGGGCTCTGCAAGCCAAGAACAGCGTTTTTTCTGACTAAAGAGTCAAGCATTCTCACAGCTTCGAACATAGCACACACTTCTCCATCTGTCTCTTGTCTATCAGAAGCCGAGGTCAGCTTTCTCAATGGGAAGTTATCTGGACTGTTTTAAGTGCATACGAGCCTTGACTGAATCCTTTTTTGTTTTGGTCCATTAAAAAAAAACCCGGAGAACGAGGAGCAGCGGAGAGATCGGCTGCTTGGTACCAGGGACAACACCAGGCCGGTCAAATGTGCGCCCTGCATTTTGGCTCCTGTTGAGATCCAAGAGTGACATTAAGCCAACAGGCACCAAGTGATACCAGGGCTCTTACCTCCGTCACAGGAAAAAGGAAGAGTGCCAGATGGCGTATTTCTCGCTGGCGGGTGTAGTGTGCCCTTGCCTTGCACGAGATCTCTTCCCTTCTTCTGAGCAAAGTCAGCTTTTCCAGCCAATAGAAACGTTCTCAACAAAAATGATCGATTTGGGGAAAGAAAGGAACCGAACAAAAACTGCTGATGTATTTACAGACGTTCCAAGCAGTGGGCGAAGCCTAAAGCTAAAGGTGGGGCTAACTGAAGCAGATGCAAGGAAATAAGCCATCAGCCGGGATATTTCTACTGTCACAAACCTTGGCATTAAGAAGATTTGAGCTTTGCATTCTTAACCCTTAGCCTTACAAACCAGTTCATGGGAAAGGCTCAAATCTACATTAAGGCTCCTTTCCTCCAAAGACTTGTGCACATGCATAGTTTTACATCCTGGAGCACTTCCATGGAAGCCAGGGGCCACACTGCATCTAGAGGAAGCACAAGATAACCCGTACAGGCCCAGATCCCATCACTCCTATGGGCCTGGCGCCCTTGCTGGAGTGCCGGTGCTGGCAAAGCCGAGATCTCGCAACAGGGCAGGACTCTACGAGGCCTTGCCTTCACATTTAACACAAAAGAAATATTTCCATTTCAAAAACGGGCTTTTTTCCATAGCAACATTTCGTCTGCTGAGAAGGGGCAAGTCAGGAGAAGGTTTTAGCTGTTCCTGGAGACAACCAACAGGCGTGATCCCATCGAACAAAATGCATCTAATCACTTGTGTTTCTCCACTTGCCTAAGGAAATCCAACAAGAGGCCGGGAATGGCAAAACCTCTCTCTTCTGTGAGATTCTTTGAAATGATCCTTTTGAAGTAAAACTAATATGTAAAAGACCCCTGAAAACTATGCCTGAGTTTTCACTAATTTTGTTGGATCTTGAAGCCTAGCTAAATATA